TTTCGTCCAATATAGAAATGTTACAGTTTTTACTGTTGAGGTAACGAATGATGGGAAGGTTTTTAGAGAAAGCCGCAATAAGTAGTGGAGTACGTCCAAAAGAATCGGTCATATCAAGAGATAATGGTGAATGGTCTATAATGCACTTGACTATACTCAATGATCCTTCTTCACAGGCTACATGAACTGGAGCCATTCCACTGTAATCTTTAATAGTGAGATCCAACTGATGCTCCTCCACTAGATGTTTGAGTATAGGAAGAGAACGACTTTTACATGATAAATGAAGAACTGTTGATCCGTTTGAAGTTTTAGCTGATACGTCACACTGAGGAAAACTAGTGAGGTAGAAAACTATAGCAACATGCCCTTCTTGACATGCTCTATGAAGGAGTGTAGATTTAGTATCATCAGTGGGTTTAGTGGCATTAATATCAAATGAATAATTATGCAATAAATGCTTTAAACAATACTAACGGTTGTATTGTGCAGCATAAAAAGGTAATACACCATTCTTAAATGAGGCTACAATGATACGATACTCTTGTCTAAGCCATTCTAGTATATGAATACATCCAGACATCACTGCAACTTCTGGTGATGATGACTTGCTGAATAATTTAGGATTAAGGTTGTATTGTCTTATTAATAATTTTAAAAGATCAAGATTATGAGAGAAACATGTCCAAGTGTAGCCACTCTTATCTTCAGTAGTGACATCACATTTCATAACATCAATTAAAAATGTCACTAGTGGTATTACACCACTAATACAAGCAGTATGAATTGGTAGAGCATCATTTTCATTAGTAGAGTGCAATAGACTAGTATATTGTGGATAATTGTTAATAATATATTTAATAAATAAAAAATGGCCATTTGTTGTAGAATAATGAAACACATTCATGTTGTGTACACCACCTACTCTATCCAAATCACATCCACAGTCCTTTACTAAATACTCAAAGACATCAACAGCACCAACTTGAGCTGCACAATGAACTGCTTGCATAACAGTACCACTTTTATAATGAGGATCTAGTTTATATTCTTTAACTAACAGTTTAACTAATGACAGTTTAGTACTATATACTGCTTGATGTAAGGCAATTGATGTGAGAAGCAAATGATAATTATTAATGAGGTATTTGACTAGCTTCATGTTACCACTCCACGCACTATGAGTTAATGCATTTAAGTTATTATTATTATCTGTTATGTTAATGTCACTGTCTTGTACTTCAATGAGATATTGACTGAGATCAACATTACCATGACGACATGAATAATGAAGAGGTGTTCTACCCTCATTACAGGTTATATTAATATCAATGTCAATAGTATTGATAATATATTCTACTGCATTGATGCTACCTGACATACAAGCTAATGCTAATGGTACTACACCTTTGTAGTCTGGTTGACTGGCATTCAAGCTATACTGAGATACAGTATAACTGAGTAGAGTAGGTGAACCTGATAAAGCAGCATAATGTACTGCAGACCGACCCTCATAATCTAATGAACTTGTATTAATACCATACTCCTCTAATACCTTCACTAATAATATACTACCACTAGTGCATGCTAAATGAACCAATGATTGACCAGTAGCAGTAATAGAATTTATATTAAAATTATTGATAACACTTGCCTTCTTGAAGAGTGTAGACAAAAGGCTCACTCTTTTATGCTGTTTAGTAACATTTATATTTAGTGATATGCACTTACGCCAGTCTTTATCGGCAAGTACATAGAATGTAGAATTTTGTATAAAAAAAGGTATATCACATGGAGCAGTGAGTTTATTAAACACTTCTGTAATGCAGTATTTATCAACCAATCCACTGCATAAGTAATGAAGAGAAGAGCGACCACTATAATCAGCTTCTAGTAACACTTTATATCCATAAACATCAACCATTTTCATAATAAAACCTGATGAAGCATACTGGCATGCTACATGAAGCGGCGTTGCACCAAAACGATCTGTTTTTTTCAAATTAATATTGTGATTTTTATAAAGACACTTCAGAAGCTCTACACTTTCACTCATAGCACAATAATGTACTATTCCACATCCGTTAAAGTCTATGTCATTTTCTGAAAAAATACTAAACTGCTTAAGCTGATTAACTAATGCTACCTGTCCACTCTTACATGCTAATAATGATAAAGTAGATCCTTCTCTATTGACCTGAGACACATTACACTTCTTCTTTAAAAACATAATCACGAGGTCAACGTGACCACCCAGTGCTGAGTAAAGCAATCCTGTGTTACCAGAGCTATCTGCTTTGTCTGGATCAACGTGACATTCATTAACTAGATACTGTGCAATATTGAGATGGCCTTTATACGAGGCCATGTGTAAAGTAATAACACCATCATCATCACCTTGTGAAGGATTGCAATGATAAACATCAATGAGGAGACAGAGGACATCAATGTGGCCACCATACGAAGCTGCTAATGGTGGGCTCCATCCATTTTTACCTCTTTCTTGAAGGCCAGTCTTGTCAATCAATCGTTGTACTTCATCTTTTAATCCTCTCCAACATGCTTCATTCAATGGAGTGCTGGTATTCTCATACCAGAGAGGATCATAAATATCTATATAATATATATTAATAAAGTTAATAATAATAATAATTACCAATAGGTGAATCATGAAGTTTCTTTAATTTATTTTCTGGCAACTATAAATATAAAAGTATATTATAGCTATTTATCAGCATGTTAATTAATAACATACCAATTTCATTTCATGTACATATTCATGACAAGTTATTGTTATGATTCCAATCTCAGCCAATAAGTGACACTGTTGATTGGTTAATGGAAAGAGAACAGAATAAAGAAAATCAGGAATGGAATATTTTAATTCCATGCAGCCATCTTCAATTGTACAAAAGTAGAATTTATATTGAGGAACTTCAAGTGAATCAGCAATTAGCTTGTGAAAAAAATATAAATCATTTAATGTGTAGTCGTCTCTGGCAACCTTAGCAATCATTACTTTAGTGCCTGGAATGTCAGTAAGACCAAACTCAATTGAGTCTGCAATTTGAACTGCTTGAGTATCGTTATTCTTAAAATAATCTTTTAATTTTTCACAATATGTAGACCACTTTCTCTGTAAATCTCTCTCTTCAGTAATAAAAGTATTGACTAACTTGACAACAAGTTCAAAATTAAACCATGAGACATGCTTTTCTAATGCTTTAAACAGCTGCTTCATTGTTTTTACATGGTCAAACTCTTTTTCAATTGATTTGATCGTTTGGGTTTTACGAAAACGTGGACTGAGTAATAATGCAATATAATCTTGAATAAAATCGATAACTTCTGAGACATTAAGAGAAAGAAACAATTCTTTCGTAAAACGCATATTATCAAGGTAAACTTCTTGCAAATCTCCAATCAATCGTGTCAAGTTTTCAGGTGAATATTCAAATGATTTTTTCTTAATGTAAATGACTAAAGACTCAGATTGAGTTGAAGTGGGAACTAGTAGCTCACCAGCCAGAGTAGCTTCTGAAATAACAAATTAAAAAATTAGCTTTTGCTATGATCCTTAAAAAACACTGATTATCATACTATACTATTTACCTTTAGAAGATGAAGTATCAACTGGTGATGTAGTATCCCCTCCACTTCTAGTAAGATTAAATTCTTTTGCTATTTCATCAGCTAGAGCTGGATCAGCTCCTCCACTATTACTTTTAATGGAGTTACACAGCATCCTTAATGTAGGGACACCATGACTCTTATAGTCATAGTCCCTCTTTAACCAGCAATCAAATACTTTTTGTAGACAAGTTCTTGGTGGTTTCCCCCCTGTTTTAATCTCATATAACTTGTTGTAGCTGATTCCTAACAGAATACCAATAGAGTCCCAGCGTCCTGAAAGAATACCAGCTTTTTCCCATACCAATCGAAAATCAGTAATATCTATTATTAATAATACTAATAAAAGAAATATTATGAATATCTATATACTCACTAAGTTCCCTGTCAAAGGCTCTTTTCAGCTCCTTAGGTTTGGTTGACATTTCAGGTTTCACTTTGTTTTGGAATTCCAGCGAATCCAGCCCTGCCCATGCAGTGAGCCACGCCTGAAAGGTAGATGTATCTGTGAAGTTAATCACACTGCAGCTCAGCATGGATAGTCTAGTATCCATGACCTCAGTCAGTACTGCTATCTAGAGCCTAACAGCGTACAACTGAGAATCTCACTCAAGCACTATCAGATGCAAAGGATTTAGTACTTGCAATTGCAAGCGAATTATCTTGTACTCGAGTCCTGCAGCAGTTATGATAATAGCAAGTGTCTCTCCATCTTTACAAGAATACTGGAGTAACTGGACTGTAGCTGAAGATACTGCATGTACTGAAGTAATAATATCGACTAGGTCTTTGTAATAAAATATCAATTGTACATGCACATTTGTCATTTGTATGCTCGAATTAAAAGCAAATGCTGTCTTGACATAACTTCACCATATTGGCTGTTATATTATAAACCGGATAATCATTTGCAGTATAATCATAATTATGACAATTATTGTTCAATTACTGTTTCCAGATAGTTATTTATTTTCTTGATCAATGATTGTACAAATAGTTCAGTTCTTTTCTGTCTCTCAGCAGCATAATGACTAATAAGTTCTTCTAGTACTGCTTCAGATAGTTCACCTTCACCTCCTCCTCCTCCTCTTTCTTTATAATATTGTACTAATGCACAGTCTCTGTCTGATTTATACTGCTTGTCCTTCCTCTCAATGTACATGTAGTCTCTTGCTACCTACAGTAATATAATATAAATATATATGTACATTATTCGACAATGTCCATATCCAACCACAACCAAAGCCAGGCTATCACAGCAAAGCTTATGAGTCCTTTCTTTATTTAAACAAGTAATGCATACTTAATATTATCAGTATCAAACCTGCTATACAGTTCATACCTTAAATATGTTGTTCACACAACCACAACTCCAGTGATTAAGACCATATAGAGTGTATGTGTTTATACATACACTTTACATTTATTTATTTAATTTGTTTTCTTATTTCTATTCTATTTAATTCCTTCTCACAGGCTATTGTTCCAATAAGAACAATGTATGGAAGGTATAAAGGCACTTGCACTGATGACATACCACAAGCCATTCCTTACTTAAACTGACCAGGTTATACACTTCCTTTCTTTTTTATGGGCTTTAGATATAGGACACCTCTATGCTATTGCGGGTACAGTGATACAAGCTTAACTCAAATTCCTATATTATTCCTATACTATGGTTATAAAAGTCTATGACATGCTCTATGACATACACACACAGGATTTAACAATTTGTTAACAAACCTTTATACTACTGTAATTCTGTTGGTATGTTAATATTGAAGAGAATAAATTCCAAATGGAAAACTCCAGCCACAACACATTTTGAAAACAGAGACAAAAATAAGAGCTCTATTAATTATAATAAATATATTAATTAATTAATTAATTAGAGATTACCTGCCATGTAAGGAAGTCACTTAATCTCACTTCTCCTGATGTTCTAATGACAAGATCAGGTGGTGTACATGTACCAGTATAAAGACATCTCTCCATTAACTCTTCACTGATATTTCTACACGTAAACAGATTACAGTGTAATAAAGCAAAACAGTAAACAGTGAAAGTAGTAGCTAAATACATGTACATGCTGTATAATGTACATTGTATCTGATACTAGAATGAATGTTTCATAACAATTTTGAAGTCAAATGACAAACAACTATCCTCTAACAATAACTGGTGAGTAAATTTAATTATTTTTGAACAGCTGAACATACCAGAACATGTACATGTATATAAATACATGCATACATGTAGCTGATAGCAGTTAAAATGGGACATGCACATTACCCTGTACATTACAGTGAAAATCAATGTCATAAGTGAGTACATTTAGATGTACATACATATGCATGTACATACATATGCATGTACATGTGTACATTGAATATTACGATGTGTGTAGTACTTACATTGGTAGTATATAGTACCATCATGAGATCCGTTATGCCATATCAGTAATCTCATATCTTGATGCATAAGAGAAACACACACATCAAGATATACCCTATAATAAAGGAACTGTCACAATAACATATGTACACATGTGCAACTGCATTAGTATAATAGCTATAGTTGGTGCCTAATGCTACATTTTCCATCCCTTGTGCTGTTACTGGCCATACAACACTCTTTAATGTGTTATAAACAACTCATGAATAATTCTCTTCGATGTTTTGATGACTTAATGAGGTATTAAAATTGTGTAAATCACGGGGCCGGCCGGGGCAAAGAAAGCATACACGCTTGTTTTCACAACTTTTGATCAAAAATGTTAAAATAGCCATTATTACTGATAATATACTATGTCCCAAATGAGCATAACCGGAAGTGAAAGCAGATGTATTTGTATTCGAAAAATGTGGCTACGTCACTAATGACAAATTATAATGATATTCATAGAGACATGGCCGATATTTCAGCTGTGCTGTTTCACTCTTAAAACAGTCTTGTTCTTCCAGATAAGCAGTACAATAGCTCCTGGAGTCAACAATTCTTCATAAAGGCTATCAATACCAGAAGATCTTGGTCTGTTAGCTTCTAGTCTCGCCCCACCCCTTTGTTACCAAAGGGGTGTGGCAAGACTAGTTAGCTT